GGCACCTGGGGAATGAGGGACTTAGCGAAATTTTTCCAGGTGGCAAAAAGCTGGAAATCGAGGTACCCCTGGAAACTCTGGAAAGTCTATACGTTTGCAGGGGAATGACCGGTCTGTGTAGTATAGGAATTTTGTGTGAATGTACTTATAGTATAATACAATGTAGTGGCCATGGGTGGATTTGTAAAAGATCAGTGCTGAGTAAATCCTCAAGTCGGCCACCGTCAAATTGTTCCCAGCGCTGAAAGTAGTCCCTCAGTGATCAGCTAACAATAATATTTTGCCAAGTTTTGCTTGCTGATGACTGCTTTTTTGCTTGAGTTCAAACAGGTTCTCAGCAGTCCGTGAACTGCCTGATGAATAACCATCAGGGCTGTTCAACCGGTGTCCAGTCAATGGCCAGGTGGAATGTGGGCCGGGTTTGGGCCCAAATTATGAGATTCAAACCCGCCCAGAGCTCAGATGGGGCAGGGATGGTCTAACTTACTCAAGTCTCTCTGTTTTGAGGAAGGGGGGGGGGTCAGATGAAGGTATGCCACATGCTGAAAGGAGTGCCTTTTGGGAAGTTGGTTGGGTTGAAAAATCCAAATTCCTTGCCCAAGCCAAACCTGCAAGTGCAAAGTAGACCTCAGTTCCAAGTAGAAACTCTCTGTCACTGATCCGTAAGTCTGGGGCTTTAGCCTCCAAATATCATTGTTTATTGATGTGTTTGAATGTTTAGTTTTCTTTTGTTGATATACCATGATATATGAGAAACCCCTCTGGGATTAGCCAAGAATTTCAAGTAATGTGCTCATTTCATACATCACATGACACTATTACTTATAATATTAGTCTGTGAAATCTGTTACTATTTGTTCCACTCTTATCCTTTTTATTTATTTTTTTGTTTTATTACACATATTCCCTCTTGGGGTAGTGCTGCCTACCTTGACAGGATTTGATCCTTGGAAGAGAGTTTGTATATTTGTTGGCTGCTTGCAAGCGCTTGAATACTCAAGAAATCCATTGTTTGGATCATATAAAAGCCATTTCATCTGGCCATTCGGACTTAAAAGCATATGTTTTCTTCCGAATCCTAAGGTGGGACGCGGGTGGATCAAACTTTCTCAGGATAAGGATAGTTTTTCTTATCAAATTTGAATTGAGGTGAGAAGGATACATAGGATGAGGAAAGGCATTATGATGCCATTTCTTCAGGCAGAGCTTCAAGCAAGCTGCTGGTGCACCATATTGGCCTGTATGTAATTGCTGTTATCTCGAACACCATAAGCAGAACCTGGTTTCAGGTTTGTCTGATTACTGGTCACCAAAAGTTAACCATCTGGACTAGGTAGATTTCGACCACCTTCTTTTATTGGCACTCTCCAGTCGATATAATTTAACCAGATGAGGGGGCAGCAAAAACTATTTATAATTTGGGTTTGTACATGAGTATTAAATTATCAAAATTGGATTGTAGCAGTCTTCCATAGCTGACGCCCTGTCTGTTAAGCCTGGGCCTTTTTCCAGTTGACAAGCTTTTCATGGCCTTCAATTTCCCGGTAAAGGTTGGCGATCTTAGGGTAATTGTTGACAAGGTCGACAGCCAAGCCCTGGAACTTCCCTGATTTGTAAAGGGTGAGTGCTGAGTAAATCCTCAAGTCGGCCACCGTCAAATTGTTCCCAGCGCTGAAAGTAGTGCCTTTGTTGGCCAGATAGTTATCGAGACAAGCAAGCAACTTGGGGATACGATCCTCGATCACCATATTCGTTGCGAACTCTTTTCCCGGCTGCTCAGGTGTAAAGAACACAAGCACGGCCGAGTATAAGTCTACTCATAGGGAAAACCAATTGGCGGATATGTGTGAGTTCGCCTCTGGTGAAATTGCAACAAATCAGGCTATCGCGGTTATTTAAAGAACGTACCATCAACAAAAGACAGCGGAATATCGACGTTGACGGCTTCTTCTCGATCATCTGGGTAAAGTCCTACCAACCGGCCAATGTAGCGCAAGATTGCGACCTCTTGAGATATCACTTTTTTCTCGTCCACCGTCAGGATAGGTACCTGTCCAAATGGGAGTTTCTCTTGGATCTTGCCAAATTCCTCGGGCGTCAATCGTTCGTCTGTGAAGGGAATGCCACCGTAATGGAAGGCCATTCGGATGCTGTCTCCCCTAGCTCCCTAGAAAAAAGAAACCAAAAGATAAAGGAACGCCATTATTTATGAAAAAAATCTAAATCAAGATATGTCTTTATAGCACCTTCAGGGAAGCAAATAAGAAAAACCAGGCGAGGCAGAAAATAGGACGAAACGCCGCGCACCTTGATGTTAAAGTAAGTGAGTTTGTAGGATGGCATGATTGATGACTTGCTCGAGTTGGAGAGAGGAAATACTGAAAGTACTGCTTTTTGTGGCTGATAATCAGGTTCCGATCTTTGGCAGTTTCACGATGGAGATGTCAATGTGAATTCAAGCCGATGCAGGTATTTTTTTGAGGCATTCGCGGGCAGGTGCATATCCCTTGTTTGCTGCAGAGTTGCCTTCCTGTCCAATATGGATGCAGGTCTTTCCAACAGCCGAGCATGGATCCAAATCGCAGGAGTAAACTATTTAACTGTGTCGTGGTTCGTATCATTTTTCCCCCTTGATTCTAAAATAATATGTTATACTCCCACAGACTTGACCATCATTTAGCCATCGCAACACCGGTGCATCGCAAAGAAAGAGAGGCCACGGAAGAGGCTGCACAACTGTATACTATAAGTAGCTACCAAAGGCTCCACCTTATCACGGCCTCATGACGGCGCAAAGTTGTGATACTTATTAGGTAGCATTAGGTTGAGTGTTCCTTCATTATGAAATGATTTCAGAATTTGAATGTCGCAATTATCATTGACAGATCATTATAAGCAAGAAGGTCCCAACCACAATTATCAAGAATCTTCAAGGAGAAAATTGGTGCTTCAGTCAAATGAAATTTGGAAAAATTGCGCTGCACAGATTTCAAACTAAATAAATCAGGGTAAATTGAGCCCATGCTATTCTTAAGATCAGTCAAGCAAATGATTTAAAAACCCTATGTGTGCAAACAGACCGGGAGCCTCACACCTAATTACTACTGCCTTTTTTGGTGACTGTGGGCTGTGATGTTGTGAAGTAGATTGAATCTGATGTTTGATTGGTCTCATTTTCGGCCAAACCAAGTGTTTGCTCATGCTGGCCATCTGTTGTCAAGCCGGGGTCGATCCCCCGAGAGGCCCGACCGAAGCTGGTACATAGGCAGGCCAACAGAGCACGGGGTCCTTTCGGGTCCCCTCCGATCGAGAGTCTTCTACTAGCACTCCAACTACTTCCACCCCCAGAAAAACCAGCACACAACCACACACACACATCACTAATAGGATGGCCAACAAGAACCAACAACCCCTTCGACTGCAAACCTCATTCGAAACGAGCAGCACAAAATCAGCACCAGAACCTAACTCAGCCACACCTGTCTTCGACCAACAACCTTACACCAATCCTGTCTTCCTCAACCGCCGATCATCAAGCGTCGCCCTAGCCTTTGCCACCCATCCCCCTTCAGAAAAACCTTGGCATGGCGGGCCAGGCAGGACTACCGTCAGCGGCGGAGGAGGACCCCAGGGCAGGGATATCATCGACACCAACCTCAACTCACTCAACCTCAACAACCAAAACTCAAAATCTGACGAACTGATCAATCAGCATAACCCAAACCAACCAAACGGACCTCCAATCAGTCACAGCGAGATCAATAACACTCATATCACACTCAACCAACTCAAACTCAACAAGCCTGCAAACAAGGAACGCGTCAGTCCTTCTAGTCTCTCTTCTCAAAACATTCAAACCAGTCAATCAATCTAATTCATTTCCCTCATCTCTCTTTCCTTTAACAGCCAATGGTCTACGATTTCCCGTCAACTCATTCTCATCCTCCTCACATACCCACTCCCCATCAACCCGATCATCAAGTCCCTGGTATCGACTGTGATTCATTGACGAATGAACTCGACGAATTCTACTCTTACGTCGAAGTCCCTGGCGTCTTGGAAGGTCGGGACACTTGGGAGTTCGATCCTCAATCTAACCCTCAACAGCCCAACCATGGCTCAGCTCATCAGAAACCCGGCTCAACTAAGACCTGGCGTGAATGGTCTCGTGAGAAGACCAAGCTCGAACTGGATTGGGTTCAGGCTTCATCGACCGTCCAGAAGAGTTATATCATCCATCTACTCGACCGACTAGAAGATAAAGATCCTGAGATTCGATTCGATGCCGCAAGGAAGATACTCTACATCGCCCAAGGTACCTTTGCTCACTCTACCTCCACCGAACATCACGTCCAACTCGTCATTCAAAACGCTCAACTACTGAGAGAGGCCGGCGCACTCGAAGCTATCTTTGTCGCTCTCAAAGGCGTCGGCGGTCGGCACGACTGGATTAGTAGTCTACCTGAAGCTCCGGACCCCAACTCATCATTTTCCCCAACTGGCCCCTACTTGGATGCTCATGATCGTCAAGCGTTCCTAGAGGAGATCAATGGCGAACTGGCCATCCATCTCGCCGTTCTCTACTTCATGGTCGAAGTCTTCAGGGGCGATGACACCTGGGGCGAAGAATTGAGTATGTTCAATCTAATCATCCTCTCTCCCCGATCTCATCACCCACCTCTTGGCTAAACAATTTTCTCCTCCTACAGTGGGCTTAGACCCTCCTCTACCGATCTATATGCTCGGACTAGTAGCTGGTCTTCGCGAGAAAAATGCAAAGGGTTACCCAGTCAAAAAAGTGAGTAGCTTCCTGATACCTCAATCAAAAAAAAACACTCTGCTGACATCATCAACGCTCATCCCATATTTATAGCTTTTACTTTTACTATGGAAAAGCATGCTTGTCACTCTGGGTGGTATGAACGATGTAGACCGTGTCAAGAAGATGGTCCGATCCATCGAAAGCTTACCACCCAATCAATCTACTCCTTCAAGCTCTTTCAAAGTCTCCCCACTCGACTTTTACACCTTCAGAAAAGAAATCATCACCAAATATCCCACCTATGTTTCACCAGACGTATCCGAAATCTATCTTGCTCGACTCGCCGCCGCCGCCGCACCCACCCCCATCCGACCCAGTGCTATGTACCACCCCGCCAATTCGACCATCCCACACGACCCATCTGGCCAGATCAAAGTCTTACCCAACAACAACCTTCAACCTGGTACACCCGCTCCCTCTCCACCACCATCCCCCCAGCAGAAACTCAAGAAGCAACAGTTTCAAACCGATCAAACACGACCTTTCGTCTTGCCCTTTTCTACTGCCAATGCCAAACTGAGTAGTAATGGTGTACCATCCCTTGTCCCCCGAAGCATCGATGAGGCAGGTGAACTGTACATGAGCCATCTCAGAATTAGTACTGAGCTTTGGCAAACCTGGAAGGTTCGAGAGGAGTTTATGGCTGATGAATCTGGGTTGGCCAAAGTTGAAGCCTGCGCTGAAGCTAATTCAAATAAATCACCCGAACGAGATCCGATGCAGAACATCACCAACAGAATGTCATCTATGACCATGGACCAAGTCACATCCTTCCCTACAAATATCGATGATCGGCCGCCACTCCCTGATTCCTTACAAATGCTGATCGAGTTGGAAGAACGGATTTGGTGCGATTTTGCTACTGCTGAGCAGTTGAATGATCATGAAACCGCTCAAAAGTTGAAACAAGATGCATTAGATACTCGAAGACTCCAGCGCGTCGAGCTGCTGTATGTTAGTGCGCAGTTCGATCCACACGCTCTACACTACTATCATTGACCTTCCCTCATTTGGTTTTTCTTTAGCGAAGCATCCTCCCCCAAATGCAAAGCGCCGTGATCGTCCTCCTAAAGCTGCTGTTAGCCACCGTAACAGCAAACACCAATTCAAATAACTCAAATGAGTCTGAGCCACGTTTGTTTTTGTTTCTTAATATTCGTCTTTCTTCCCGTTGAACAAATTCTCACCATCCTAATGAAGAAATTGAAACAAAGATTATCGATTCCAATTACAGAAAAGCCGCCCCCGACGATCGAAGATATTGATATTCTCAGACATCGCGAGATCACTTCCAAGGCAGTTTCGGCTATCTTGATCTTAACACTCAAATGGTTCAAGGCCTCCCGTCCGTCATTTCCTCGTCATAAATAAACAGATACTAACCTTGCTTGTAAACTTTTAGACGTCATGAAGTTTCACTATTTGGCTCAGCTGTTGGTTGATTCAAACTGTCTTCTATTGATCTTGAAAATGTTTGGCTTGCAAGAGGTTGCAGTCCAAGTTAAAACAAAAAATGAATGTGAGGACTACAAGTAAGTTTTTTTTTTAACTTTTTGTCGTGTACACAAATGACAACCTTGGTTTGATACCCTGACCTTCCCCGACCCATTCCTTCATCTTAGCTTCTTCCGGTATTGTGCCTTGTACGGCTCCCGCTTTCCAACTGAACCATGTCCTCAGGAGTCTCCTCTCCAGCGAAACCCCACTCCTCTGGTCACAAGATCGGCTCGGTCGGGGGATGATGACGTCGATGTGATCACTGATTACTCTTGGAGGAATTTCTTCTCGGCTATCAACTTTGTGCACATCTTGCAAAAGTTGACTAAGGGCCGGGTGCACCGAATCCTATTGCTTGTTCAATACAAAAGCTCTGCCATTTTAAAGCGTATTTTGAGGGCTAACCAACCCACTTTACAACTATACGTGTTGAAGGTCATCAAAAGTCAAGTACCATTTTGTGGAAGAAAGTGGCGACAGGGTGCGTCGTTTTCACTGGTGGATATGTCACAGCGTGGCAGACTGATTGGAGGCGCTCAACTTAATCATTCTCTCTGCAGCCAACATGAAAGTGATCACCGCTATTTACCTGAACTGCCGGGCGAATCTACGGGACGAGTGGCTCTTGGGAGTGGATCTTGATGGAGAAGTTGAAGACTCTTTTGTATGCCATACATTTTCTAAAAACATCCAAAGCCATCAACAAGATTTTTGATTTTTGATTTCGATCTAGCCGCAAGAGCAAGCTTTACGATCGCTTGTTAGCTTTTACAATTGCAAGCATTATTCAGCCTTCGCTCCTCATATGTATCGCCGTCCTTCGAGCCTAGTGGCTAATCCGCCGGAGGGTCCTACCAACAATGCACACGCGACGTGGCATCAAGTGGATCGCCAAGGTGGACTTAACGGAGCCCAGGCTTCACAATCACCACATGCATCCACCGAATCGGATGTCTTCCCACCAGTGCGATCGTTTTACGATAACACCAGATCCTCTGACCCAAGTACGACGATCGATGGTTTCTTGGAGGATTACGAGGTTGAAAGTCTATTCTATCCCCACTACTCAGTCTCCAGTAACGGCTTGCTGGAACGAAGTGATGATGCTGCCACTTCTGCGTGGAACCGACTTGGCGAGCTGCTCGGCGACTTCGACGACATCTCGGATAGCGAAAGCATAGCCTCAATTGGCTATCTTGGCGGCGAGTTTGGCTCAGATGGTAGTGTGTCATCACTGGATGATTTTAAAGATGAAGATAACCAGAGTCGTAGGGCAGAGTGGGAGCACTTGTCACCGGAGACGATCACAGCACTTGAGGAAGAAAGGAAGACATCAGAAAACCAACACGGATCGCCCTCCCAAATCCCTCGGCGTAAGAAGAGTAGCGAACCCAAGAGTCCCGCGCTACGACCGGTCGTCTTCGATGGTCGCGACGATGACGAGGTGACAGAACAAATCGAGCGAGAGAGGATTTCACATAATCTCGATCTGACTGGCAGTCCCAGAGCTTCGTCCCATCGCTCGCCGCATTTCGGACCTCAATCTCCGTTGAATGCTTCGCATCACAGTGGGCCAGCCGTCGATGAAGTAGAACTCATCTTTGGAGAGTAAACTTGTTTTTCCTTTTTGTTTTGCTTCCTTTCATCCTGTCTATGATTGTAAATGTATGATTGAAAGTATATAGAAAGCTCATTGATCATTTGTGTCATTTGACTGAACTCAGTCTCCCTGATATTCAAAGTCTCAAACTGAAAGTAGTGATCCAGCTCTTACATAGTCTCCATATCCCCGCTCACGTGTACTCAACTGATTTACATCATTCAAATCATTCGATGGTTATTCTTAGCTCACTTTCTGCATAGCCATTACATTTTTTATTATTTGGTAAATTTGATCCATTGTGCCAGTAACTCAGAATGACGACGTATGTATGAGGGTGATGGCTCGTGAGTAAGCGGTCCACCCGGCACCAGGATACCTGGCTTAGGTTGCCATGCAGCTGGACCGCTTTGCTCTTATCCTCCCGGCGTATAAGTTCTAAAGTTTTCAAACTCTGTTGCCAACACTTTAAACCTCCCTCCCGCTTCAAACAACATCATACCACTTGGATACGAACTCCAATCTGCTCTCGAATCGTCAAGTTCGAGCAATCAATTCAGGGGGTATTGGATGTCAGACCAACAAACCATGCCGGACAAGAGAAACTAGATTGCGTTTGGTCTTCATAAAGATCGTGATTCGTGATACATCCATATTTAAGTACTCAGTCAGTTCAGCATTCACATCGGGGCCGGCCCGACAGGTGTGATGTCCAGATTCCGGAGGCCTAGTTGGAGTAACAGCCAAGGTTGTCGCCTGTTGTCGCTGGTTGGCATCATCCTTTAGATATAAATTCGTAACTGTGTAGCAGCCCACCAAGATTTGGCACTGGCTGCCTACACATACATTTGCATATGAGCCCAACACGTGTGACCTCATGAGCCTTAAGGTTTAAGCTCTTGATCGATCTCGTCTCGTCCTCTCGCCAGGTCTCGTCCTGTCTCGTCTCGTCAGGTCTCGTCCACACGCGTTCCGTTCTTCTCTCAAACTTGAACTCTCTTCAGCTTATTCATGTATCGTGCCAATCACCAAGCCTGACAATGAAAAACCTGCGAAGCTGTGCCCGTATGGACACATGGCCATCTGACGTATTCACCATGCCCGAAAGTCTCCCATACACCATGGGGATCCATATATACGGACCAAACACTGTCCCAGCAAGCACCGCTAGCACTTACTGGTCGCCGGTCGGACCAGGTCGGTTGATGAGCAGGCTTTGTCTGATGAGCGCTGGGTAAGGTTAGTCTGTGTTGGTGATGGAAGCAATCGCTCAGGTTTTGGGTACACCGGCATACACACGTACTTCTCTACAGCGTGTTTCACAACGGCTGGTGTTGCAGACCTGATAAACGCTACGTGCAGGATGTACTGGTTGTCTCGGAGCTTGCTAACTTCAGCCCCATAAATTGCAAGGTTTTCAGTGATCAGGACTTTGACACATCCCCCTACTTTGCATGATTGCCAGCCTCAGCTTCAGAATGTTCTCTCATCGTATTTCCAAATACACCTGGCTTTCTTGGTGTGCATTGATCTATTTTTTCGCAAATGTGCTATTCATCGTTCAATCGATGGAAACCTCTCTCTCGGAGGGTTCATTCGACAGCATTCTGGCGAGTTTTTATCAAAGTGCTGAGAAGTTCTCTGGGGAAATCCCGAAGCATATTGAGGAGAATTACAGGGCAATGGGGCCGATCAGAAAACAGGCGGCTGGTCCACAAGGCTCCAGCTCAAGCTTTCCCATCAATCACAACAAAGCTCTCGCCGCAAGGGTTTCGACTCCGTCAAACAATCAAGTAGTTACCTTCAATAATGCTGGCTCTGCTGCCAGGGTTAATCCCGCAACTTCAAAAGCTGGCAACCCGGCCTCTCTGAGCTCAGCTCTTATTATTCCTGGGGGAATAACCTCTGATCTGGGCTTGAAGGCTCACGTTGCACAGTTTGAAGAAAAAATCCGGTCGATTCAGTTTTTGGCGCGGGGTAATGGAATCCGTTTACGAAACCTCCCAATTATGATGTTCTTCGGATTTCACCATCCAACCATGACAATTTGCAAAGCTAGCGTTTCGGGAGGACAGCAGCCAGTAGAAGTTCTGTCGCTCCTCTTCAGGGAATTGCTTGGATCAATGTGGAGCTTACAAGTCGAAGAATTAAACAGCCTCCGATCCCAGAGTTTTGACCATGTGATTGAGTTGAAGAAACTCTTTGACTGGCTGTGCATCCAGATATTTTCTCCTGAAGAAGGTATCCCGATTGTTGGGTTTCTCAAAAGTCACACTGGCAGTCGAAGGAATTATAATTTTCAAACACTCAAGCATCGACCAATTCAGTCACAACTGTTGAAATATTTCTCTGAAGATCTACTATCTGAAATGCCACTAGCATCCGACTTGGCTCCAGTTCTGATGGAGAAGTACTGGAATGATATGGAAGGTGAGCTTCCATATCTTGAACTAATGCAAAGGATTTGTGGTATCATCATGAACTGACTAATTGATTTGGCCTTTCCCTTCAAACCTAATTCATAACACAAACCTGTGTAATGCTAAATTTGGATTTCAAATTGCAAACAGCAAAAAATGCTTTCAGGAATCTCGAAAGAGAAGTCTATACAGGAAATGAATTTGAAAGAAGAGTCCAAGTGCTTGCAATGGTGGCTGAAGAGGTCTACAGTAAAAATAAAGCAAAGTCTGTGGAAAACAGTTTGTGGGATCCTTTCTTGTTGGCAATTCATGAACTTCCCAACATAGAAAATTATGGGTTTGATGTGAAAAATTTGAATTTACCAATTGCAATATTCACAATAGATGGCTCAAACTATGTTAATGTTTTAAGACCTCCTTCAGACGGTCCAGTTCCAATCTCAAAATTCCATGGGTTAATGAGTGATCTGGTAAAACATCTCTATATCTTCAATAAGAAGATCTCAAAGGAGCTATTTGGATCAAAACACCACATACTAAGGATTGAACACATTCTCCACTGGCTACAACAAGCTGTTTTTAACCCAAAATCAGGTGTTCCCATTGTGGGTCAAATCAAGAATGTCAATTCAATCTTGAAATTTGAAGGTTTTACACCATTAGATCTATTCTTGATCAAATTCATTTCATATCAAGAGGATGGAATCACAGAATTAGCAAGGACTACAGCAGAAATCATGACATCTTATTTGAAAGAGAATGATCCAGAAGCTTATGATAAAATTTTGTCGTTGGAATCAAAACATCATAAAAAGCTTGGTAAAACCTTTAGGAACATCTTTTCTTCCTGAGGGTATACTTATATCATCAATTCTTTATTTCACTTTTTTATTTGTCTTTTTCACACTGAATAATAGACTGCACATATAGATCTTCCTGCACACTCAAACTCTTCATGCATCAGCTCCCTACCTAAAGTTCCACATGTGCAAAGCAAAATTCTTATACTGAGATTCACAGGAAGAACTTGGCTGAATGAATAAATCATTTCCATTAGAGATCCTTTTATTATTTTGTTTAGCTTCTCAACTCCTTGTCTCAAATTTCTGTCTTTTTTCACTTTTCTCTCTTGATTTCTAATCAATGATTCCATTTCTTCTGCATACTACTGATGCATGATTCTCAGCAAATGTAAATAGTGCATTTGAAGCAGCTAGAGAGATTTGGAATGAAAAATACAGCTGATTTTGTTTGCCAACAAGTCCTTCTTAGAAGAGCTTTCCATGATTTTTCTTCATTGGCCAGGGAAACTGGCATCTTGCACACTGTAGGCATTTTAAGATTTGTTCCATTGATGCAAAACATTGCTGTATCAAACTCATTCCCCATCTTCTTTCTGGTATTCAGCATTATTCTATTCCATTTAATCCCATGATCATGAATCATTCATATATCCATTTTGAGTCATATTCTACAATTAATCCACTGGGCCAAAACATGTTTTAAATCAATTTTTCCCAAACTCTCTCTCCCTGTCTGCTTATCCTTCCTCCATCTCTAGTGGATAACTATATAGAAATCTTGATGAACTGATTTTTTCAAAAGCATACACTGGTTAAGCTCATTTACTCTACAGAAAGAACCAGCACATATTCAAACCCTAACCCTTAAATGCAGGATATACAGTTTATGTTTCAAAACAATTCACAGAAGCAGTTTTTGAATTAGATACAAAAGCTTCATCAAGAAGAGTGAAGAAGCAGTTGGACAACATTCCTCAAAGCACTGCTTGGAAACCAGGTATTGAAAATGACTATTTGGACCATTTGGATGTCTTGAATCCCAAGATTTGAAACATTTCAAGAATAACATTTGAATCATAGATCTAAGAAAATAAAGCTGAATAATTATGAATTATAGAGGCAAACTATAAATACTTTCTAGTGTATTGGTATCTTAAATGTGATTGATTTCTGTTGGAAACTTTGGAGATTGTTTACCATTTTGATGTTAAATGAATCCACTTGATTTTAGTCAAATCACAGTTATTGATTGTTTTGATTTAAAGGGGGAAAAAAAAAACTTATATAGTCAGTTGAGCTGATTCGAAGTTTGAAGGGTGGTTAGCCTCAAAAACAATTGAAGAAGGTGTTTTAGGGCCAGTATGTACCATTCAGAACAAAAAGTCAGAATTAGCGCGAGTCAAATCCCCCGTTCTCACCCTACCCAGCCCCGTTGTGCTTCCCCCGGTGGCTCGCTCAGATCTTTCCCCTCCTCCCCCCTCCCCCCCCTCCCTGCTCCCCCCCTCTTCCCTTCGCTCCCTCCTTGGTCTCTTCGATATCCAACTACTTCTCGACCATCTCCACACTTCAGCTTCTTCTTCTTCTCCTTCCCTTGAGTCTCTACAGCCTTTCATCTCTCAAACTACACATCCTACCAACTCCCTGATTGAGCTCCGTGCTCACTAGCTTACATACCTCAACACCGACAAACCATCGATAGAAGAAACCCCATCCTCATCTCATCTTACTGTCGCTTGCCTTCAATATGTCAGAAATACGCCGAAAACTAGTCATCGTTGGCGATGGTGCTTGCGGAAAGACTTGCTTGCTTATCGTCTTCTCCAAGGGCACATTTCCTGAGGTCCGTCCTCATCCTACTACTGCTCACGCTCGCTTCCGAGAACTTCTCAACACTTCCGATTCCCTTATATATCTATATTATATTTACGATAACCTGCCTCTCTCTCTCTGTCTCCACCTCTTCTGTCAAACCTCTTCCACCTTGTCTCCACCTCCACAACTTAACATTTTACCTTGATTTTTTTTTCACCCAATTAACCAACTTTTTGGAATATCACCACATCCACAGGTCTACGTCCCGACCGTCTTTGAAAACTACGTGGCCGATGTCGAGGTCGATGGTAAACGGGTCGAACTCGCACTTTGGGATACCGCCGGTCAGGAAGATTACGACAGACTCCGACCGTTATCCTACCCGTAGGCTTTTTTTTCCCACACACTCTGAAAGATACACATACGCTCCTCGTCTCTTATTTTCAATCTTCTTACTGACTCTTCTTCTTCCTCCCCCATCCTTCCGCTCCCTTTCATCAAATCTTGACCACTTTCGCTCGCCATCGGAAATTTGCAAACTTGATCAGCGACTCGAACGTCATCTTGATTTGTTTTGCGATCGATTCACCCGATTCGCTCGATAACGTCCAAGAGAAGTGGATCTCCGAGGTCTTACACTTTTGTCAAGGCCTTCCGATCGTCCTGGTTGGGTGCAAGAAAGATCTCAGGTAAGGCTCATCGATCACTCGCTCATCTCCCCCTCACTCGATCTTCCTCTCTCGATCTATTCACTAGATAGTAACATCTCCTGGCTCAATCCAGGACTGACCCCAAGACGATCGAAGAGTTGAGACGAACCAGCCAAAAACCCGTGACACCCGAAGAGGTAGGCTCATCTTACTCTG